TAGCATCCAAAATTGTTGTAGCCTGTTATTTTAAAAGTAAGTTGGCCACCTATGTCTTGCTCCAAACATCACACCGAACAGAATTGCACTTTTGGAAAGCAAACTATAGATCTTATGTATCCGAAGCACAATTAGGTAAGATTTGCCTGCAATTGTTAACGTCTTTACATTATCTCAGTAGTCTTTTCGACTGCATAAGACTATCTTCATTTCACCTTCGACAGACAGGAACATCTTTTTTCCCCAGTTAGGCGTCAGCTGGACTGCCAACCATACAACTGAGCTTTCATCGAGGCTACACCTACAACACTTGTGGGTGCCCTTAGTATCAACCATAAAAACCAAACCCTGTGCTTTCTCCTCGATACACCTCGTGATCTGTCGTGTTACACAAGCCGTTTGTATGGAAAAATCAGTCGACAACCTCACAAAGCTGTACACAGACATCCGGTGGAAATAAACTTGGCTCTTAAACAATCTGGCTCAAGAGGACTAAACGGAAATCATCCACCATACTAGATAATGCTTGCATCTCCAGATTTCCGCTAAGTCATATCTCACAACAGAATAGGAATACGGTCTTCGCTGTGCTTATTAGTATCGTCACAACCACTACCATCGTCAATTAAGAAAAACATAGCAGCTCCAGTTATCAGTCCCGCATGTTAATAAAGTATCGAACGAGGAATAACGGTTCAACATTGAAGACAAAAAACTGTTCAGCTGTAGCACCCTTTCGGTGCCTAGTTGCCATGCCAACGGAAGCACGAGGGACGGGGTAATGTCAGGTTACCCAAGCCTAGACAGGAACAGCCGAACCGCGAACCTTCGGGTCCGTACGGTAGCCAACAATAGCTCAGATAACTGCAGTTTGTGGAAAGATGGCGCACTGATTACAGTAATGATATAGAAGGTAGTTATGAACCGAAGCCGAGCGCTTGGATAGGGTAACGACATCTAGCAATGTCTGATAAGACACACTTGTGGCTGTTGCTAAATGATAGTTTAACACTTTATTTTAGTCGGTCCGGAAATTGCAGGGCACCTCGGATATGATAACATCACTCTAGGGCAAGTGCCTACAGAGTGAGGAAGAAGTCCAACCCTAGCGAACGCGCTTGTAGAAATCAGTTTCGGGAATGCAAACCAATAGACGTTGTCACACACGTCCAGACGGCAGATAGCGAATGAAAGATACCGCCCCGAAAAATGGATCGTAGCGTGTAGCGATTAGTGCACCTCTGTGGATCATTGGGCTGCATCCATGTGATATCTACAGAAGTCTCTCATATCAGACTGGTCAACCGGTGAAGGCACTATTACGGCCATCCACGTTAAACAGTACACACTATGCGAAGTTTGACTACTGCAGTAGTCTCACGCCAACCACTGCTGCCTTGCACTTAGAATTTCTAGCCGAAAGCCCTGGATGCATGATCCAGGAGTCTCCTCGTCTATGTTCCGCACGAATGTGGATAGCTTCATGCCACCTCGGGTGTCATATGGTAACACCAACCGGGTTGCCTTACAGTACACACCGAAGTTTGACTACTGCAGTAGTCTCACGCCAACCACTGCTGCCTTGCACTTAGAATTTCTAGCCGAAAGCCCTGGATGCATGATCCAGGAGTCTCCTCGTCTATGTTCCGCACGAATGTGGATAGCTTCATGCCACCTCGGGTGTCATATGGTAACACCAACCGGGTTGCCTTAATTGCTGCTCGTGACAGATTATCTATGGACGAGCTCAAGATAGCTCGGCGATTAAGTTTGACTGACCAGACAGTCCGCCATTCGAACCCAACCCTAGCTTTTCCGTTGTTCCTATCTAAGCTTGGACAACCTATCAATTTAACAGCCTTCGAGCTTCACCAAAGTTTCATGGAAGGTACGCACCGAAAGGCTGTCACGTCTGAATAATTCTTTCATCTATAGATGTCTTCTGTACCTCTTAATCTCTGGTTCGAAATCCAAGCACGGAATTCTTTTTCACTGCACGCCGTTTATCCAATAAAAACTTCAGGCGATGCTACAACAGTTACGGCGAGCCAATGTTAGTGGAGCTATCCATTCACGAGTTGAAGCTATTCTCACTCCTTTGGATACATTTGAACAATCATGTGTGATCTCGTTTACCAGGCTCCATATGAACCAACGCCAGGCGAGGAACTTCTTTCTCACACCAATAAACTGCATCTCAGAATCAGTAAATACTTTTTACTTGGAACTAAACAGTCTTTTCCACCAACAAAAGTTCAGAATATCTTAACAGCCGAGGTAGGCTTATCGGAGTTCAGATTACGTGACCAATTTAGCTTGAAATAAAACGTAGTAATGCTGTCTTTCGTGGCCTTGTACCAATCACCAATTGTGCCTCAATAGCACTGAGTTTAGGAGCAGTAGGCGCCATCCACTCCTCGAATGACCCTACAACAAGAACAGAATACAGATGAAGTGGATCGCCCCGACCACAAATCCAATCTTCAAAAAGGATGTAAGGATGTCACGCAACAATCAGCCTGGTAGCCATGGCATCCAAGGAGCTCTGTGGCATATGGTGCGTGGGTCGATTGTCTGGAGAGGAAAATCCGTCAGAATCAAGTTAGGGTTCGTCCTGGTAGATGATGCGTCGATGATACCTGTACTTTGGGGAAGGCTCTCGAACACCCCTATAAACGTCCAACTATGGTAGTGTGTGACAGCCGAAGACATCCAGTCCAGACACATGTCCCAACCAACGCAGCTTATGGTACTGGACACAATCTTCAATGGAATTACCCGTTGCACAACCGAAAACTCGCTTTCCAATTGCCTCGGTATGGATTCACCGACACCAACCCACACAAGCCATGGTCCTGCGACAGCGACTGTCAAACACCTGAAGACATTTAGCTCCACTGCCCGAAAAGGTAAAGTCTCACAGCCATACAACAAAACAGCTCGAACTGTAGTTTGATGCACGCGTTCCTTGTGATACAGAGATACACCACTCTGAATTTTGAGGGACGCGTGTACCAAGCTACAGCGCGGGCGACAGTGCGGATGCAATAAATGTTTGGTGACGAAAAACCTGCTACTTGTTGAATTGAGGAACTTATTCAACTGCACCAACTACACTGACTGAACCAAGTGCTCCGAATACCAAGTGAACGATTGCCTTGCCGTGCCCTACTTAGCGAAGCAGGTTCTCATTGGGAGAAACCACAAGATGGACAGCGCATGGCGTGAAGGCAACTTAACAGTCTTGGCTGCATTAATGCATGTCGTCTACGAGTTTTTGGTACCAAACACCACCACATCAATTGTTGGAAGTGATCGCCGACATAATGATGTCAGGCCGCTAGTGTTATATCTATTATTTTGTTATTAATCACTGACCCGCTGCCTATATCTGTTTTTTTCTTTGTCTTTGTCTTTCAAACGAGTCGTTTAGTGTTTTGTCCTCTACATGGCTCCGACTAATCAACCATGACAAGTGTGGTGTTAACCATAGGGATTCCATGGTGAAGTGGTGTGCCATATGATACTTAGTCTGCGATGTTTACGATAGATCCGGGCGCATTAATAACTTCAGTTCCAAAAACATCCACCGATGGAAATCAGGGGGACCACAAGGACGAAATCCAATGGTTGTAAGGAGACTTTTGGATAGTTTACTGTATATCTTAACCCAAGCGGAGGTATGGAAAAACAAGATATGAAGAATTTTTGCGACCTTCAAAGGCGTCCTACTCTGGAGAGTTAATCTGTCCGCAGAGTCAAAGGTTCCTGTGAAGTTCGGAGAAACCATCATTGTTGGTCGGCGGCATGTGTTGCGCCGTTCAAGTATCTGACGTAATGTAAAGATATGGGTAATTCATTCCCTACCACCGTGTTTGATGCTTCTGGACTCAGGTCTCACGAGCCGGGTTTGCATGTTACAACATAGGGGGAGCCAGTGGTCCTGATGCGACAACCGACGGTAATAGTGCGATGGTTAGAACAGTTGGTCCGGGTTCCGTTTGTGAACACGGATACGATCACAGCTTGGTTTCAACTACCTGAAACACAATCTTGGTGCCAAATACGTACGAAAAATCCAGTCAAGGCAGAAAATAAAGATCCCCTCCGTATCTAAATAATGCAGGAAGTTCATCTGGCTCAGCAGCCCGATGGCAGTTCGGGGCAGAAAGGCGCTGAGAAAGGCACTGACATAAGGTCTAAATGCAGATAAGATGGCTCAAAATGAGCGAGTAAAATGAAGACCTAGGTACGAGGCTATATGGCAACTAGTACGTCCATGAAAATATCCGCCAATGTACATGCTAGTCTTCACTACATATTAGATTTACAAGCGCCAGCCTACATGAAACACCCAGGGTGTCTAAACCTTTTGCACTAAATTAGACAATCAGAATAGAACCTGGAAGTATGAACGCCACTGAGACCGGTTAACCACTACCTCGTTCAGCATCGCCAGCCAAGCACAGAGGGGCACGCGGAGTTGGTCCTAAGAGACTAATAGCACTAACGGCACCCACATTTTTAGGTAGATACCTCATTTTATTCTGCCATAAGTTTTGCCCGCAACCAGGTTTCTGCTACTTCAAATTACGCAAAAAGAGCAGCATCTCTTGCGACACCATATCACTATTATCACAACTTTTCGATTTTTCATTTTTGTGACCTGCGAGGAGTTCCTGAAAGGCTCCGTGGGATTTTAAGAACAAATAGAACTGCAAAAGCGTTTTTGAA